TAAGTTTAAACCAATTAATATATTACATAAACTAATCAAAAATGCAACACATATGACATACTATATATTTATGTTATTGTGTTTTTGTTTTCATTCTCTACTGGTATTGGCGAATTATATTTGATCCAAACAGACCGTGTCTGTGATTCGTCATCTACGGTTATATACACGTGAGGACATCTTGACACAAAAATGTTTCCAGCATTTGAGTTGGGTCATTATATTTATATTTTAGTGGTTGTGTTTTTTTTCACTCCGCTGATTTTGGCGAACTATATTTAACCAAACAGCCCTTGCCTGTGATTCGTTGTCTAATGTTATATACACATGACTGCACCTTGGCACCAAACGTTCCCAGCATTTTAGTGTGGTCAACTTTGAGTATGACACAAACTCGTTCGATTTTATTTGCTTGTATTTTAACCCAGGGATATTGTTCATAACGATACCATAATTGAAAACATCGTCAATCCTGAAGAATGGTGTGGAGGATGCAGATTTATACAGAGATGGGACGATGTCGTTAAGGAACATCACGTATTGTCCAAGACAATATGGACTGTAACGTTTAGTTCCTCTAAATTGATGCGGTTCAACATACCATTTGCTGCTTTTTGCTCGGACGATTGGAGGGTTGTAGAATCGAAGGCAATGAACATGATTCTGATTAACAGATATATCAAGCATACTGCTTTGGAAAACAGTGAACAAATTTATTACAATATCATCATCTGTTTTGATGATATATTTAGCATTTCTACACCGTTCAGTCAACCATTTATATCCCATTATAGTTTTGTGTGTCAAGTTATGGTATGAATCTATGAAATTTCCTTGAAGTATATCCTCATAAAGGTTGAATTCGTCCTTTATTTTATCTTGAATGTTTGTATTATAAACACTGCCGAGGAGAAATAATACTTTGACTGTCCCGTAACTAGAATAAAATCTTGAATTACCCCATGTCTCTCTGATGATCTTTCTCCTTTGAAAATTGTTTGGTGCAGACAAGACAATGATGAGAATTGTTAAGTTTTTAAATGACGAGCACAGTTCTTTATTTTCTAGAAAATAGGAGGCATTTATTGTAACTGCATATTTTGGTGTTGTAGGATTTATTAGTTCCATCAGTCCTGGCTTCAGCTTTACTTCGAAGATGTCATTCGTCTTAACTATTCCATTCTTTTTCTCCAAAAAATGACCCTCTCCGCTATTTGCACTTTCTTTGGAAGCAATACCTTTGATAAAAGCAATAGTAAATAAAAAGTTATTGTGTTTTATTGAAAACATGAGTTATTTGTTCAGGTAAAACGAATAAAGTGCGCTTTAATCTGTTCCAAGCATACATGTACATCTAGTCAGCCTGAAAATAAACACGTTCGATAGAAAACATTTCCAGTTACATACATAAAAGAGGGTTGTTCTAAAAAAGTTTGCATAATGATTGTATTAAAAGGCGGCGAATCGTCAAAGTATTTTCAAATCTATGCAAATGTTAAATCTATATATTTCCACTTAAAATTCAAAGTTCCATACATTTTATTATATGGGTTCATTGAGTCCAGTTCTTTTAGTGTTTAGGATTGAGTATCGCTCAAGCCGGTGCTAGAAGGCGTGAGGGATATGTTGCACTATTTCATGATCTCTCATATACAGACTCAATCTAGACGAGTCTGCCATTTTCATGTAATTTTGCTGTTTTTAATGCATCCGAGGTATTACTTTTTTCCAGATACATGTAGATACATGAAGCCATACATAGGTAGTGGCGTATGTATCATACCAGGCCATTCATAGTTGATGAACGAACATTTAGTACATGTATTAATAAATTTCAATCAAATAAGACAAATTTATTCGACCATTTATATGAGAAAAAAAATACCGCAGTACTTGCACGGTGCAAAACATGTCAAATACCTGAATGAATATAGCTCTGTTGGAAAGCCAAAGAGTCATTTATAATAATTATCGGATGGCGATATATACACTTGACAAGATTTGAACAGTTCCACCTGTACACTGCCTGCCTTTAGCCAATCAAAGCGAATAATTCAGTATCACATGATAAAAAAATGGACGTCAAAAACTTCAATGAGGGATTTAAATGGACTCGCCCAACCGCCATGTTTTGTCGGGTTACTTATTCGTACAATTCATACCATTATCAATGTACGAACTCAGAACCAGTCTTTAGTCTCTTGCAGGATTAACACAGTAAATTGCAATATTTTTTGCTACATGTCATTTCTGATTAGAGAATGTAGTATAAAAGAATATATTTTGTTTTCTTTCCAAAACTTGCACTTAAAGAAAAAAACTTTATAAATTCTTTCTTCCGGGCGAGTTTAAAACTATTTATGGCTGAACGGCGATTCCAAGCATTTTTGGAAATGCTAATACTTGTTGTTTTCATCAATCAACTTGCTATAAGTTGATTGGATAATTAGACCTGTCAATCAAACCTGGCAGAAAGGTAAATTTAGGAACGAATTTTTATATGACTGCAAATTCAAGAAGTGCTATTTCAAATTAATCAATATTACAGGTGAATATATAAAGTTAAATTAATACAAAAAAAAAAACGATATTTCCTTTATAAACCTTTTACTGCATGAGCATATTGTGAAAAATGGCTGTTTTCATTGAAAAATTAAAACTGCCATGAAACTATAAAAAATGCTTCAATACTGATCAAACTTGGCACACATGTTGACTTGGCCACGACCTTTGTAACTGCACGTTCAATCTAAATTTCTTGTTACCATAGCAACAGGGGACTTTCAAAAATGCCAAAATTCGCTATTTTTCGTTTTTTTTCCCCATCAAAACTGATTTCAAAGTGCTCCAACTTCTAAATGAATTAATATAGAGTAAAAGGCTTTTAAGCGTTGGTTACACGATACCTTGAGACCATCCTGGGGCCATTTTAAGCCTCTCACAAGTCCTCCTTCAAACCCCCCAAAAGAAGGGGGCACATCCCTCTTCAGGCACCCCCTTGATGTACCTTTTTGAAAGGGGCGGCGCCGAAAATGTAGTCACGTTTTTAATGACAATTTTCAAACGAAAAACAGTTTTTGGGTCCTAAATAGGGCATTTTTTTCACTATTTGAGGTCTCAAAAGAAGGGGGGGGGGGTTGAAAACTTGAAAAGGCGTCAAAACACGTCAATATGAGGTAAAATGTTAATACAGAACGTTTAATGTCCGCTTTTATTAATGTCCGCTTGAATGTCTGCGTACTTCGAATATATAAAATGAATAAATAAATAGAAAATAAATGAACAGGATGAATTTACTTATTACGTATTTTAAATGAAAATATACAATTTTCTCTTATGGCTATTCTTTAAATCACGTTGTGAAGAAAAAAGGCTTTTAACTGCCGTAGTCCAAAGTGTTTTTTAAAGATCATACGAACCATTATGTAATATGATTAATATATCTGAATTTCCACTGATCCATATGTGCGTTGTAACACCGTATATATGTGAGGAGAAAATAGATTATTCACAGGGTAAGTTTTCATTTTTTAAACATTTATATAAAATTCATAGCTTTTTGAAAGAAAATCGAAATGTGATTCTACCCTCCTGACTTTTCTCTATATATTACCATTTTGCATCGGATTTTTATGCAGTCTTCGTCGTGGTTTCTGGTGTGCCCAAAACTTGCATTGCTTAAGAAGAAAATGTCGCTGAGCGGACTCTTAATACAGTTTTCACAAAATATTACCACCCACAAGCACAAGTATTTTCTAATTGATTGTCATGCAGTGAATTAAAAGTAATTTAACTTCTTCATACAAACTGCCGTCAAAAGAAATATTCTACTCGAGATCGTGTCGACATCAAAAAACATTTGCATGGCAATGAAATTTTGACCGGTAATTTATTTTGAGCCAAATCTGAATAAATTTTCAATAAGGATTTGTTTGAATGTTGAGCATCGTTTTGTGAAAACTCTTTATTTTGAGTCCATTTAGCGACATTTTCTTCATATGCATTGCGTGTTTTGGGCACACCAGAATCAACGACGGTAAAAGTATCCCGACGAAGACTGCATTGAAATCCGGAACAAAAATGGGTAAATATATGAAAGTCAGGAGAGTCGAATCACATTTCGATTTTTTTTTCTAAAAAAACTTTGAATTATATATGTGTTTAAAAAGTTGAAATCTTACCCTGTGATTTTCTCCTTCAAATTTTGGTGTAACAGCGCACATATGGATCAGCGGAAATTTACATATATTGTTTACCGATGCTCAATTTTGAGATCAATATGGGGGTTCACCCCTCGTGACTCGGCTTCATCCTCGGAAGAGCCGGACAAGACAAAAATGTGTTCCGGCTGCTCCGGCTATCTGACTAACTCCACGGATACATTTTTCAGCTGCCATGTCATAACTGTGAAAATCACAAATAATATTTTATCTTTGATAAGATCCTTACCAATTATTCCATGTGTACTGTCGTTCATTGTATAATTTAATACAACCTTCCTGGTTTTGTCAACTAATAAAACGTTAATACCAACGACCAAAACTGTACATAAAACAAATAATTTCACTGAATATCTGATTAATTTCGTTTTCATTTTTATTTACTTCTTTACATTCGTGCGTACTAATAAAATATAAATTTGTTTTCAACAACATCTGTCTACATCACGTGGTGTGTAACGTTAATTTTGTTGTTTCGCAACTTATTTTTACCTCGATTTGGTCTAAATGTTTTATTTCTAAATTCATTTTAATAGCAGAATAGCGTGCCAAATTGATAATTCCTACTTAACATTTGAAAGCCGTTTTATCGTTTGGTGAAATTTTGTGAAGAGATATATAAAAACATTCTGATTGGTTGGCAGCGGGCGTATTCATACCGGCAACCGTTTTCGCTGGACCAAAATTTCAGATGATTCCAAAGTATACGTAGTGATAAAAAAGTTATTGAACTGATAAATTTATCACTTTAACATTGCTCACTGTTAAAGAAAATATATATTGAAATAAGTTTTTTCATTTGCTTGTTGGGAATTATCTGTACAAATGATCGTACAGCACATGTTCTCTGTCACTTTTCATTAAATGTATATATTATAAACATGTGTTACTAAATTCAGCAAAACAACTATCACGTGCTTTCAATACATATTTAATCAAAAACCTCCAAGTCGATATTTGAAATATATAAGAATAATACATTTATTTCATTTCTCTGTATACGGACTACATATTTTGGTGAAGAAGTGTAGCATATTTCACATATGAATGGATATTTCAAACTAAACGTTTACGTTTTCGCTTTTATCCCAATTTGCTACTAACATTATAAGAATCTTACACCGGCTGCCGGTACAGACAGGAATATCTAGCTCCAGGGTAACTGTTTACGGCAGTAACGAGGCTCTGCCGAGTTTCCGCTATAACAGTTACCCGAGAGCTAGATATTCCCGTCTGTACCGACGGCTGTTGTTTGATTCTTTTTGTTGCATATTACATATCAATTATTTTCAGAACAAAAATGAGCCGCGTCATGACAAAACCAACATAATGGGTTTGCGACCAGCATGGATCCAGACGAGCCTGCGCATCCGCGCAGTCTGTTCAGGATCCATGCTGTTCGCTTACCAACTCTATTACAAGTAGAGAAACTGACAGCGAACAGCATGGATCCTGATCAGACTGCGCGGATGCGCAGGCTCGTCTGGATCCATGCTGATCGCAAACCCATTATGTTGGTTTTGTCATGACGCGACTCAAATAACGAAATCTGATATTCTCATTACGCATATATATATTATATTAGCGTATGAACTTACAAAATTCTGGAAACAAAGTGATCCCTCGGAAGCATTAATCACAACAAAATAACATAAGAATTGCAGACTCGGTTTGATTGAGTCTGTGCATGAGGGCAATAAGTGCAACATCCCTCACGCCCCCTAGCACCGGCTTGAGCGGTACCCATTTCTTAACACTTTATAGTGTTTGCATCAATGATCCCGAAGGACCAGAAAATAGAACAACACTGAAGTGAAGTACGGGGAAACTTTTTACGGCTGCCACACGGCACTTGACACCTGCTGTTGTGAAGTACAAAATTCTGGAAACAAAGTGATCCCTCGGAAGCATTAATCACAACAAAATAACATAAGAATAATAATATCTGTCATATTTTGCGGTTCTGATAGGAATATCCGTCCCGAGGTGATCCGCCCATGGGCGGGTGACCGAGGGACGGATATTCCGATCCGAACCGCAAACATATGTCAGATATTTTTTCTTGCATATTCTACCATATTCCATTATATTTTTAATTCTTTATCATTATTTTCTATGAAAATTTATATCATTACTACCGTAACTACTTTCATTCAACAGCGTATGAATTACAAAATCATTCATAACGGTAAAATGACGTCATCTTTATCGTGCAATTGTACAGCACGCGACTCATCTGGAACCCCCCATGCCAGATGAAATTTCCGGCATGGGTAAAACTAACGGAAACGCCAGTCTGATATGCAAGAATTGCAGAATCGGTTTGATTCATAACGGTTAAATGACGCCATCCTAAGAACGAAATTCATTCATAAAAGGCGCGTGGTAATGACGTCATTTTAAGCACGCGACTTGTCTTACATGGGAGGTGTAAGACAGGGTTTTCTAGCACGGGTGATATTCGAGCCGCGTCATGACAAAACCAACATAATGGGTTTGCGACCAGCACCGGTGTAAACGGTAGTGGCTGCCGGTACAGACTGGAATATCTAGCTCGAATGTGACTGTTTACGGCGGTAACGAGGCTCTGCCGAGTTACCGCTGAATGGTTACCCGAGAGCTAGATATTCCCGTCTGAACCGACAGCTGGTGTTTGATTCTTTTTCTTGCATACTGTAATAACAGTAAATGTTAAATGTTAATCTGCAATAATTCTAAACCGATTCAATACTTTTTGTTTACAATTATACAGCATTTGAATATTTATATCTCGGTAGTTAACATTTTATAATTTCAAGAATTAGTTCAAATAGAGAGTTCAAACAATTTTCGGACTTTTATGTTATTCACGATGCATACGTGGTCAGTACGTTTTGGTCACTTTATTTGCAGGAATAAACGGGTCGGAAGTTGTCATGGACGTATCCGAAATTTCCCCGGAAGATCTTCCTCAATACAGAGACGATTTTTCACGTGACGATTTTAATGGTTACCTTAGCGACATAATCTCGATGCATAGAATAGTGGATGATTACAGACCGGATATGTAAATAATTTGTTTGTTTGTTTTTGTTAACACGAATGCGTAAATAACAAAGGAAAGAATCACGCATGCGAGCGCACGCACGCAAGTTAGTATGTTCATAACTTAGTTAAGAGATCCGTATTCGTTCTTTAGTTAGTTAGTTAGTTAAGTTAGTTAGTTAAGTTAGTTAGTTAGTTAGGTTAGTTAGTTAGTTAGTTAGTTAGTTAGTTAAGTTAGTTAGTTAGTTAGTTAGTTAGTTAGTTAGTTAGTTAGTTAGTTAGTTAGTTAGTTAGTTAGTTAGTTGTTATAATTACTTTTCAAAAATCGAGCTTAGGTTAGAATATTTATAAGTTTGCAAAAATCACATACTTTCATTTAACTTATATGCATTAATTATATCTTATATAAAAAAAGATGATTCAAAAACTTCAAAAAATGTTAGAGTATTGGTTACGTGTATTTGATACTTACCTTTTTCCTGTCAACTACTGCATGTTTATAAAACTGTGAGACGCCGTTATATGTCGCAACACCGCTAAATGTCACACTTGTCACTAAATGTCCCACCATTGCCGCTAAGTGTCGCTACCGCCGCTAAGTGTCGTTACCGCCTAGCCTGGGATTCAGGCGTTGGCATTTTTTGCTTATTCATAACATCTGCTTACTTACGGAACGTCGGTTATTCTACCCAAGTTCCCATTCGTGCACGGATTAAAGCTTGAAAATCGCTATATATATTGTGTTGGAGTGACGACTAAAAAGCAATTAGGACTTTGTATGCCATAATTAGAAGAATTAAAAACTAATAAGGAGCAAACACCTATTTAGAACATGTGGAAGGTACAAAAGATCAAATAAGGTTTTTATGTTATATTTTATCTCTCAACTTCTAGTAATATTTTTTAGAATTATCTCCTTAAGCTTTTAAAACTTCTTATTAAGTTGTTATTACGTTTATTTCTACTATTTTTAAATAAAAATTTCATAGTAATAAGGCTTTTTTAAAATCTCTCCTATTTAAGAGAATCAACGCCCTATATAGATTTTAATATTCCTAAATAGGAGTAATATAGTTACTAGTCTACATTTTCGAAAACTTTGTCAAATTATTAGAATTTTTCGACCGTGCGACCACATACACGCATCGAGGACATGTTGGAGGAAAAGTGACCATGCGACCACATGCACGCATCACATGATTCCCCTTCTCATACGAGAAAGGGACAAAGAAGTTGTCCGCCCTTTATAAAAGGGCAGACATTTCCTTATGGGCCTTGAATTGGTTTATATACAATAATAGTAACGCAAATCAAGTGGAGTATTAGTTTACGTCCTTATAAGTTCGCTTTAAAAATTTCAAAAGATCATATATAATTTCTTGGAAAATTTTGAGTTTGCAGTGTTTTCTACTTTTCATTTTATATATATCACAGAATTATTTTAATTTTGCAAAACACGAACGTTTCACAAACGTTTCATATGCATTAAATATGGGAGATATATTTCACACTTTGTTTGCAAATATTATCTTGGGGCATTTTTGCCAACGTATGCTTTTAATATTTATATTTGACATATTCTATTTTAAATAGAAAAGGTAGTGTGATGGACTGCAAGAAGGAATAGATTATTATAATTAAACTTGAGCAACCGAAAATTCTGACACTGGTAAGACTGTACATATTTGCAAGCCTTACTTTAACCTGAATTTGTAAAATGCACTTTTCAATCTACCATTGATTAGAAATGTCTATCAATCTGGGAATATCAAGATATACATTTCTAAAGTTAGTCAGCCATGAGTAAAGAGCCGGCTCAGTCTGCACGAATGTGCAGCCTAGCAAAATTGAGTTTATCTATATACTGGTAAAATATTTCGGTTCCAGCAGTGTAAAGGTGCAGTGTTGCTAACAGTTGTCATAGTTACACAATTGCATTTGATCAAAGCTCATTTAAAATTTCACCAATTATATTATACAGTTTCCAATCTGCCTTTATGTTTATGTAACTGTAGTATATGTCTTTAAATAAATATTCATTCGTTACATGGAAAAGTTAATACCGATAAAACCGCAGATAAGCATGCTTGTAGATGAAAGGTCGACACAATTATTTAAAAATTCTGATCTCAGATTGAATTTTAATTGATTTTTTTCTAGAAAATTACAACCAATTATTTTGTACATCATCTCAAATCTTTTCCTATGTGACAGACAGCTAGTCCCTAGATCACCTACATAACGTTAATACTGTCATAAAACCAGTGGCTTAACATAAATTTAGATATTGCAACATTTGATAGTAGTGTTGTGACATTTAAGGGTAATGGAAAATTGTGCGACATTTAATGTCATCATTGCAACATTTTACGGACATTTAGAGTCGGTTGCGACATTTAGCGGCAATAGTGCGACATTTAGCGGAAAGTGCGACATTTAGCGAGATGTATAGTCGTTGCGACATATAATGACGTCACAAACTGTAACAGACGCACAATTAATCACCGAAATATTACATTTTAGATGCAAGGACCTGAGGTATCCAAAAGTTTTACCGGAAATAGGCGTTGTGATACCCTTTAAGGACGAACATTTGAGCGTTCTACTACGTACCGTATATAGTATTCTTTACAACACACCGGCACATATAGTCAAAGAAATTGTCCTGGTGGACGATGGATCGGAAAACAGTAAGTATAACAATTGTTAAAAGAAGAATTGTTTTGTTCCGGTAGACGATGGCTCTGAAAAGAGTTTTTTTTTAAGTTCGATTGTAAAGAAAGCTTACTGTTTATCTGAAACAATTTCGAGTCCTCACATGATTATGGTGTACCTCATAATGACGGTATAATAAACGCACGTGTGTGCCGTGAATCGCTTGTAAATATTGCGCGTTTAAACACCAGATTGCCCAACGCGATTAAAGACTGTCGCCAAATATGATATCCTAGCATCGATACATCATAAAAAAGATTTTTTTATTTTTTTCCCCTTCCTCTTACATTTTTATCGAACCGCCATCGTTAGTAATTTCATTATTTAAGTTCTGATATATTTTAAATTATTTCATAGGTGAGCTAAAATCTACTCTTGACATATACCTGGAAAACATGGAAAAGGTTCGAGTCATCAGGCTGCGGAAATCTGTTGGTTTGATGATGGCTCGTCAGGCAGGGATAAACAGTATTGACGCCGAATATTTCGTGTGTTTAGACTGCCACATGGAAGTTTTACCGGGTAGATATTATTTTTTTATATTTACATGTATATTTTAAATTCTTCGTAAGACACAATTACATGAAGGACATATTTATTCTTTTTTGCATATCCGACCTCTCTTCGGTAATTTATTGGATTTGCAATGTGTAAAATACTTTTTTGTTCACTTCACAATATTTTACTTTTAAATACATTTTCAAAATTTTGATGAAAAATGAGCATGAATCTGGAGGCATGCTGCTTTAATCATATAGTAAAAGGCATTTCATGTAATCTGGAGAAGTTTTCTTTACAACAAGTATATAATTCTTTATTCCGTAAATTATTTTTATCATGGTGTTTTTGATGTTGATTTTTTTTAAAGAACAGTTAATTAAATCTATTAGCAACAAACTTTACCTCACTGTTACCCAAAAATGTAGGCCAGAAAAAATGAGATGCATGATTTTTTTCTCAGGGTGGATAGAGCCGTTGCTAAGTCGTCTGCTAGAGGAGCCGAAAGCTCTCCTGTGTTCCAATGTCGGATCCATTGATCGTCTTACATTCAAACTACATCATGCTGAACTTCCACAAATACGATACTTTTTCCCGTTCCTTATATTTAACCTGGATGCCTCCACGGGAAAGTATAAACAATCTTTCGTCGAATCTAGAACCAATGATACTGAGCCATTCCCGTAAGTTCAATGCATGAATGAATGAATGGATGAATGAATGAATGAATGAATCAATCAATCAATCAATCAATCAATCAATCAATCAATCAATCAATCAATCAATCAATCAATCAATCAATCATATAGATGTTACAATTTTCAGCTCATAATCCAAATATGATATGGGTTTTCTAGTTAGATCACGTCTATTCTTTTGTTGATACACCGGAGGAAAAAGACGCTTTTATAAAACTGCAGCTTTGATATCTTGGCCGCATTAAATCTAAGGCCATTTTATTTTTTGTATAAATATATAAACAAATTTTCCTTTATAAATATAGTCCACTTCTTAAAGATTTAAATACAATGTAGTTAAACACAGAATAGATAAAATGGAATCCTTAAAAAGAAAGCTCAATACGACGCCATTGAAAGTTCTACATGTATATAGGTTCTGTTTGTTTTTGATTTCTTCTGAGTATTTGTTTTTTTCAGGTTTGGGATCATTCAAGGTATGATGGTTGTGATGAGGAAGTCTTGGTTCATGCAGCTGGGCGGGGTTCGATTTCTGGATGAAGATATGGGGTAGTGAGCAGATAGAACTGTCCATTAAGGTGGGAGTAAAA